GCATCAAAATCCGTTGCGTAGTTTCAAAGATTAAAGCATATAAAGGGACATAGGGACAGAGAAAGCGACTTTGTTTTATACTATATAGTGATAAATTAGCGTTATTTTTATGGGGCATAAAGCAGTTCAATGCTTTAGGTAGGTACTTTAAAATCACCTGTTATATAATTCTTGCTACTTCGTGTATAATAATAAATTGCTACATTTTTAGTAAAACAAAAGGAAAACATAGCAGTCAAAACAACGATGCATCATGTACACTCAAACTAATGACTATTTTAATAACTGTCTGTGTGTCGACACTGAACTTTTTAGCGCAACACCAAGTATGTGGGCCATAAACCGTAATTTGGCACAAATAGCACGCCCATTAACACGTGATACATACGGCTGTAATGGCTAACTAACTGGCTATCAGTTTTTTATTTACTTAGTAAAGTTAATTTAAGGCGATAAATAGCGGTTTAGTCGTAAAAATTCGCTGCTTATACATAAACATTGTTTTATTTATGAAATATTTAAAAATTCGTACCCTTGTGGTAAAACCGATAATACACACCGTGAAATCTATTTTGTTATCGAAAAATTTTACTTCGGGACGAAAACGAAATAGATTTCATGGTATAGACAGTCAAAATCTAATAGACTGACCCACAATGTGAAGAAGTCACCAAAATAAAGAAACTAGAAAATTTTGTTCAGCACAACTTATTTAATATTTTCAATAATTAAATAATAATGTTAATTTAGTAATTAACGAAATATTATCAGGAAAAATCTTCAGTTATAACTCAAGATGAGCCTGGTACCTAGGTACTTCTGGATAGATCTTTAAAAAACTCCCAAATCCCAATTTTGGGCATAGCGTTTGATAACTATTAGCAAAAGCTCGCAGCATAGTTTATAGCAAAAATGTTCAATAAAAATAATAAGTCTATGTATCACGAACTGACCACAGAAGCGGCAGATGTCATTTACACAGCCCGCTGTTGTTATACCCATGTACGTATATACTTTTACAGTGCAGAATTATCGTAAGTATAATGAGAGAGGGAGAGAGAGAGAAAGAGAGAGGGAGAAAGAGGATGGGAGTTGGTTACTATCA